GTAGAAAGATTTAAAAATGAACGGGGAACGACAAAATTGTAAAAGATTAATCGCCGCTGGAACTTTAGCTACTTGCCGCGAAATAATTTTTCACAATTAATTGGACTTTAACAGCTTCAAGACAAGTGATTTGATTTTTAATTAAGAAACTCGAATTTAGGTAACACACTGTTCAACCGTGAATCTCTAAAATTTATATAATTCTTGCACGTTCAAATTCTAAACTCCGAATCGTCGATGTGCCAAAATTTATCGCACAATCGCATGCCACGTGGAATTCAATACACACACAAATCTCTGACGTTCCAAATTTTCAATTTCTACAATTCTCCAATTCTCTCAATATCCCGAATATTCAGCTGTCGAGTGTTCAGATCTTCAGGCTTTAACACGTTCCGTGCCAAGCGATTTTTGCCTTTTGTTGTCGTTCAGGCCATGTCAAAAATGTTGTAGAAAGCACACATTGTAATTTAACACGTTCCGTGTCAAGCGATTTTTGCCTTTTGTTGTCGTTCAGGCCATTTGATTACATCATCAATCGATAAGTAGTTCTCTTGTTTAGAGTAGCTATCACATCCTGTACCACTTGTGGTACACGTGGCGCTGCGATCAGTTCGATTGCAAAAAAGTAAATAAATCAAATAAATATGACTGCGTGTACCACCGGTGATACACGTGGCAAATAAATTAAATAAATATGAGTGTGTGTACCACCGGTGGTACACCGTGGACGGAACGTGTTAAACAATCCCAGATTTGTCATACAATCCCGCGATGTAGAAGTTATCCTAATCGTCTTACTTTCGTTTCACGTATCAGTAAAAGCCGAGTCTACAATTAAGCGAACATTCTGACGTTGCTCTTCGTTGCCTTGTGTCAGGGACGTGACGATCCAGTGTCCTTTCGTCGATTGGCCGAGATCGTGGCCAACGATTCGTGACAACAACGTGAACGTGTCAGGGAATTGATCGAACGTGGTCTGACGCGAATATGAGAAAACAGTGGCGGGCAGACGAGCTGATGATGAACGAGGAACGAGCAGAGTACTTTGACAAAAGAAAGGGGGGGTGGGGGGATGTTTGCTTTTGCTGCCTGAGGTGACTTACCCCTGGACAGTGTCATGCCTAGAGTACGGAATCGCAAGGTAATTGTTGCTGTTTCTCCTTATTCTTTACTTGGCCCGACTTGCATGCTGTCCTATCGGTAGCGGCACAACACACAAGACATTTGTATACATACAAATATAGAGATGTAAAAATAAGAGACATGTATAGTTTTACGATGGAGTACAGCTAGCAAAGATCGTTTGCCTTCTACACACGTACAACCGTACAGCCGTATTATTTCATCGGAATCTAACTCTAGTTTCCTTGTTCGAGAATTTTTTTCTTTCTTTCATAAACGTTGTATATCAATTCATACAATTTGACTCGACGCAACTCTTTGTTATTTCGATAAACGTGACGAAACATATATATATACATATATGTAAACGTATATTAGATACACGTACAGTAAAGAGCGTAATTCAATCAATAACGATGAAAAATTGTCGATACTTTGAACTGTTATAGTTTTTACAAAAGAAATTCTATACTTTGATACACTTTTGAGTTCAAAGTTTCCCTCAAAGATGATACTTACGTAGTCGATGGGAAAGTGAGGATACTTCTTTTCTCGAAAGTAATAAAAATTCAATTCCTGATTTCAGAGAGATGATTTCCATGATTTTTAAAACCTTTTGCACAATTTTTTGTTTTGTTTTGTTTTATTGAATGATTATTAGGGTTAGACGACGAAATGATGGGATTCCTTGAATTTTAATCCTAACGTTTGAAATTATGGTGAAACAAAAAGTTCTAAGACGTTGTTGCAAAGAGGAGACTCCAGTCTTCGAAATGATGATGGCTTTAGCCACGGAAAAGATTCTTCAACGTTTTCAGAGACGTTTGAATTTTTGTAATTTTCGAGAAAATATATCCACGTTTTCCCATGACGTTACATGACTTCGAGAAAAAGAAAAGAAAACGAACTGTCAAAGAGACTCTACGTTTCTCTTTATAACAGTCCAAAGTATCAACAATTTTCTATCGTTATGGATTCTATGCTTTTCATTATATATGGAGGATTGCTTAAAAATTTGATCTAGTATATAATCCTCATCCGTCCCTCGTGTGTCAATTTGACACATTTTTGTTTTTTTTTTTTATGAAAAAAATCACGGTATAAAATTGAACATGCCTATAGCAGATTATACAACTGGATAGAAATTTAATCCATTTGTTAATAAGAGAATTGAATTATTTGTCTCTCCATCGTAGGATTAATTCTTGTACACTGTGTGAGCACCAAGGGAGAAATTAAGTTTTAGAAAAATTCGGGACGGATGAGAGATTGTTGTTACTTGTGGTTAACAGATATCGAAATGTCTCCAACGTGCTTATTCATCGATACAAAAAGTAACACAAGATTCAATTTTATCCCGTTTGTACGCGAGTGATTAATCTCAGCTTTCCTTTAAGTCTATGCATCGCTTTCTGTACTATTATATATTTTCGAAATAATCAAAGTGACAAAAGTACACGAAAACTCGCCAAAAAGGGATGGGGGATCGCGTAGTGTTCAGACGAGAAAGAAAAAAAAAAAAAAAAAA